AGTGATCAATTTTGAGTTCTTCTGTAGTTTATTGTTGTCTACCGCATATGACAGAAGTATATTTTGCAAGATGAAATCTCCACGAACAGATGACCAGATTGCAATCAAAAAAACCAAGGCTGCAGCGAGGAAAAGAAAATCCCATGCAAATGAAAACAAACAGCAAACCAGGAGAGCTTCCAGTGCTGAAAATATGCAAAGACTTAGGGACTCTAAAACTTCTGAACAAGCCAAAGGTTCAATCAAGAGTCCTCCACAGGAGTTAGCTTAAATGCCATCTTTTAATCTATTAAATGTCTTAATATGTAACAGATTATACAGCATTACACTTTCCTTAATTTTTTTTTTTTTTTTTTAATTTTTTCTCACCTTTTGCCTTTGTCTATCTACACTTTTTATTTTTTTGGTTTATATTCTAATATTATTAAATGTTAGCTTTATATACTGTACAGTGTTAATCCTTTGAAACAGATTATTTATAAACAAAAATACAATCCTTCACACATACCCTCACCTTTTTAATCATATTGCTTGCTCCTTATGCTTTATAATTTTTAAGTCTTTTTTTAAAAAAAAGAAAAGAAAAAAAAACAGAAAAAACAGAGAAAAAAAACAGAAAAAAACAGGAAAAAAGGAAAAAAAAGAAAAAAAAAAAAAACAGAAAAAAAAGGGAAAAAAACAGAAAAAAGGAGAAAAAAAACAGAAAAAAAGGAAAAAAAAACAGAAAAAAAAAAAAAGAAAAAAAAAACAGAAAAAAAAGGAGAAAAAAAAACAGAAAAAAAAGGAGAAAAAAAAACAGAAAAAAAAGGAGAAAAAAAACAGAAAAAAAAGAAAAAAAAAAAAAAAAAACAGAAAAAAAAAAAAAAAAAAAAAAAAAACAAAAAAAAAAGGAGAAAAAAACAAAAAAAGGAGAAAAAAAACACAAAAAAAAAAACAGGAAAAAAAAACAGAAGAAAAAAAACAGGAAGAAAAAAAAGAAAAAAAAACAGAAAAACATGTACCATATAAACTTTAAGCTTGTACCATCTTTTTTTTTTTTTTTTTTTTTTTTTTTTTTTCCCAATATCTCCCTATCATTTTGAATTTTCACCCCAATAATATATTGGGTTTATATTAACTTTAACTTTTGAGTCTTCATATAATTTAGCGTTCCCCACCCCCATAAGACACAGTATTTTTTAAAAAAACAACTGTAACAAGTAGCTCATTTGCCATTTGTACCTAACAACTTGAGAAACCATGAAACTAAATTGCCCCACAAACATAAATTAAATATTTGCTTATATGTGTATACACTATCACACGCATATACAGTTGCTAATATCTCATTATTTAATTTATATTCACACTCACAACATTCATATATATATATATATATATATATATATATATATATAGTGTATTTGGGCAGCAATCCCTCTTTTATACAAGTTTCATTAAATACGACTGACATTGTACTGCAGTTAAGTTTTTTATTTAATTTTTCTTGTGTTCTTATAACTTCTTTTCTGAACATAAATGATGTAGTAATTGTCTAAATGTTCTGTATATCCAAGCACTTTTGGCTATACTTTTAGGATGATTTTATTTTTACTTGAATGTATGGTTTGTTTTATGTATGTATCTGGAATTATCAGAATGTTTTATTTTCCAAACACAGTCAGCACATTGTGGCAGTGTTCATAGCTAATATTACTGAGTGTTGTTTTTTCTTTTTTATTAACTTTTACCATACTAATTTCTTCCTAAACTGTTCCTCATGCCACTGCATTTTTTTTTGAAGGTGCAAAAACATGAACACCTACTATTTAAAACTGTTATAACTTCCTTTGTATTGTGCATATACATTTTATTCTTTGTATGCTAATAAAAGAAAGCACAAATAATATTTTGATGTAAAGCATTATGTAATGCATTACATTTTGCATGCATGTTTTGACGTTGAAGACAAAAAAATTGAAACCCGAAATAGAAAACAAATACATTAAAAAATACATAAATAATTCAGCATACTTTAACTTTCATTACTCCTGAGTTCTGAGGTGTGAAAAGAAGCAAAATCGCTAAGAAGGCTTTCATTTAAAAAACAAAAAATTGACGTGTTTGTATATAAGACACCAACATTTGTTCGCTCTTTCACTCATCATATTTGTCTCGTTGACATGTTCTTGCTGACGAATAAAGTTATTATTTTGTCACTTATAAATACACAAAGTAATTCACCTTCAAAAAAAAAAGCCAGCAGCTTCCATAAAATTAGTTAGGCATGCATGATAGTAGCTGCTAATGGTCATCATTGCTTTCTTCCACGTCACTAGCATTTTCAACCACTTCACCATCAATATCGACTTGAGTAAAGCCTTCAAAGTCATCATCAGAGTCCTAATCAAAGAAAAACTCCTGAATAAAAACTTCATTTGATGTAACCATTTTTGTTTACAAAAAAAAAGAAAAAAAAAAATTGATGTCACACCTCTTGTAGAGTCTAGAAGAATTCAAAATCGCATTGGAAAACAGAAGTTTAACCTTGTTTCAAAGCAGTAGTAGACGATTTCCAGCTTAAAATACTGGAAATAAAAGTTGATACACGTTTATTTATAGCAACCATCTCAAGGCGACAGAATTCCTCTAAAGCAGCAAAGGGAGAGAATTCTATGGCAACCATTTTTGCTTTCAGTGTGGTAAAGGTTAATAATAATGCTTCCATGATTTTTAGCACTTTTTGTATCCTATTTTTCTACATAATTTATATCCAGAAAAGAAAATTATAAGAACACAAGAAAAATTAAATAAAAAACTTAACAGTAGTACCTTATCAGTCATATTTAATGAAATTTGTATGGGTATTATATATATATATATATATATATATATATATATATATATATATATATATCATGGACTCTCCCATCATTGATCAATGCAGGCTGTTGACCCACGCCTACCGGGGACTCTTTTTTTATGGCATATGAGGGGCAGGTAACTCAGTTCCCAGTAACCAACAGCCAGACAACCTGCACATGATGGTGAAAGTTTTGTGCAGAACCAACCACACTTTATATATAATACCTATAATAATAAGAAATATATAATACCTATAATAATAAGAAATATATGATACCTATAATAATAATAAGAAGAAATATATGATACCTATAATAATAATAAGAAATATATGATACCTATAATAATAATAAGAAATATATGATACCTATAATAATAATAAGAAATATATAATACCTATAATAAGAAGAAATATATAATACCAAAATAATAAGAAATATATAAATATACAAGATGTCTGATCAAAAAGTATCATGGCTGGTGTTATAAAAAAAACTACAATACATAGTAATTCAGCATTAAATCTACTTCTGAAGCCACACACATTATCCAACGTCATTTACATTAATGGAAGTATTCCTGGAACTCCTTTCTTGTGTTAGTGAGCCGCTGCCTCATCGCATTCTGCTGATTTCTTAGGAATTTTGTTCTTTTTAAGTAAGATTTAATTTCTAAAGAGGAAACAGTTGCAAGGAGCAAGATCCAAAGAATATGGTGCTTGTCAGATCTGGGAAATGTCGTACTTGGCCCAAAACTGCTAAACAAGCCACTGACGGAACCTCTGTAGTGTTTTTAGATGACCGCACTCGACATGCTTCCCTTCCAAGTACTGCTATAAACAACAGAAGTAAGTGAAACCATTATAACTTAATTCAAAGTCAAACTGTGCACCAAGTTGCTTTACTGTGTACTTCAGCTCTGTTGGCATAGTCCCTATACATTTTGATCAGACCTCACATAAATATTAATAAGAAGATATATAAATATAATTTTTATAATAAGAAATATACATGCATGGGTAGGAGGTATGCACCGAGTGTAACAGTTATCAGCATAGAAGATGGGATTGGTATATTGTGTTCAAATTCAAACCAGGGTGGTTATTGTCCTGATCAGGAGACCCGGGTTTAAATCCCACCATGGTTGATTTACCATGGAGATGACTCTTGATAATATCAGTCTGTGAGCCAAAGGGAAAGTATATTAACACTTTCACTGCTACTCATTTGCCCAGTGCTGCCCACATCCGGTCAGCCATTTTTAAATAAAATGCCAAATTTCAACCTACATATTTTATTACACAGAAAACTGGCACCAGTGTGTTTTACAGCCTTCCATTTTCATGAATATCCCTGGGAATGACTTACCAGATCAGTAATGGGTATACACATGATATCTTTTGAAGAATTTTCCTTTGTGATTTTACAATAGATGGCGCAATGGGACACTCATACCAGCGGTATGCAAAAAAAATGTAGATTTCCGTACAGCTGGAGCAAGATAAGAAAAACGGAAATCTCCGTAGTTAGCAGCGGAAGTGTTAATATAAAGTCTAACTACTGTCACCTTTTATTTTGGGACCTGTACACAAACAGATTTGTATATGTAACCATTTGCTGTCACCTAAGTATATTCAGTGTACATTTACTCTTAACTGCACTGAAAAGCATTTAAGATGTTGCAATTGTGTGATGTTCATTTCTACCACAGCATACATGTTCTTTGTATAGCTTAGTAAGGTTGGTTTGTCCAGGCATCCCAAAAATACGCAATGATGCATTGCAGCTGGTAGCCTCAAAAGATGGACATTTCAAGAGTCACATCTAAAAATGATCATGCAAGACAGTTGCACATTATGTGCACATTATTATGTGGTGATCAAGGAAGATTGATCAATTGATTGGTTTTCTGCAGCTTATCAACCTTTTGCAGGTTATTTAAAGCTAAGGAATATTTTTAGATTGTAACAATTTTTTGGAGATAATAATAATTTACTGATACAAGTCCTATTAATAGCTGGAGAGAGATGTGGATTCATACCTTTCCCAAGGGTATTTGCACATAAGTGAATATAACAAACCCAATTGGAATTGGAACTCTGCTCTCCGATTTTCAATTTCAAGCCATTATCCATTACACCACCCACACATCCAAACTTACACCACTTGGTATTCCCAAGCAGTCACCCATCTTGGTACAGACCAGGCTCAATGTTGCTTAACTTTGGTGATTAAATAAGAACTGGTGTTTCAACATGATTTGGCCATAAGCTGATCAATGAAGAACTGGTGTTCTTCTGACAAGTTAGTACAATGTGTGTGTGTGTGTGTGTGTGTATACGCTAAAATCATACTATATATTAAGTGTCTTTTTTGTCTATAACTTTTCCTTCAGAGCTATCTCACATGTGCTGATGATTTACTTGTATATTTAAAAACTCACATGTGAAAAACTAGAAAATAAGGATTTAACAAAATATGTCATAATTTTTAATGACATGAGTAAAACTAGTTTTTAACGATTTACCACACGCTGCAGGCTACAATAGTTGCCGTAGAATTCTCTCCTTTCACAACCCTAGGGCGCATTTTGTCGACTCGTGACGGTTACTATAAATAAACACTTGTCAACTGTTATTGCCTGTATTTTAAGCTGGAAATCGCCTACTACTGCCTTAAAATAAGGTTAAACTTCTGTTTTCCGACGCCATTTTGAATTCTTCTAAACTACACAAGGTGCAACATCAGTTAAACCCATGTTAATTTTTTGCAATTTTTTATAAACAAAAATGGTACGTCAATATACAAAAAAACCTTTATTCATGAGTTTTTTTAAGGCTTTACTTGAGTGGATATTGACAGTGAATAGGTAGGAGATGATAACCACGCTAGTGATGCGGAGGAAAGTGATGATGATCACTAGCAGCTACTATCATCCATGCCTGAGTAATTAAATGGAAGCTACTGGAAACCATCAATATATCTGATAGCTCTTCTGAAGGTAAATTATTTTGTCTATTTATAAACGATGAAATAATAACTTTATTTGTCAACAAGACAAATACAAGTGAAAGAAAGAGCAAGCAAATGCTAATGTCTTCACATATGTAAACATGAGGAAACATATCACTTTTTTTAACGAAGTAAAAGCCTTTTTAGTGATTTTGGTTCTTCCTGCACCCCCAGAATTCCACAATGTGTAAGAAAAGTTAAAGTTCATTGAATTACTTATGTATTTTTTAATGTATTTGCTTTTCATTTCATGTTTCAATTTTTTGTTTTCAACGTCAAAACATAATGCATTACATCAAAATATTACTCATTCATTTTTTTTCATTAGTGTACAAAAATTAAAATCTCTATGCCAAATACAAAGAAAGTTATAACAATTTTAAAACAATAGACGTTCAATGCTTTTGCACCCTCAACAAAAAAAAATACAGTGGCAAGGGGAACAACTCTAGAAAATTAGCATGGTAATGGCTAAATAACTTATGAGTATGAAATCTTTCTAAATGGATCTATAACATAAGGCACAAATCTGTACAAACATTTACTGTAATAATCATCTGAGAGACCCCTTTTCAGTCTTCCATTAGCAAAGCTGATGCTAACCTTAAGGACAGGGACTCATTTTGCCTTCTTGGGCTGACATTATCAGCTGAAAAAGAGGAAAGACTATATTGAATCTATTGCTAGCTCAGCTGCTAAGGAAGTTGGTTCAGTGTGTCATGCAAGGCAATTTTTCTCTCCAGAATCTATCTTAAATATCTATGTCTACCATCTATCTATACTTAGAATATTGCTGTGACATATGGTCTGGTGCTCCTTCTATATATTTAACGATTCCTGATAAAATCAAAAGAAGAATCAGCAATATTATTGGTCCTGCTCTGGCACCTCAGCTTCATTCACTTTACCACCACTATAAAATTGTTTCCCTATGCCTTTTCTTTAAAGACTATCATGGCAATTATTCAGATGAGCTCTGCACTATGGCGCCTAGACTTTATGAATTTAAATGCAGTACCTGACTGGCAGCTAGGTCTCATCAATTTACAGTTGAACTGGCTAGATGTAACCCTAAGTTGTCTGCAAATAGTTACTTTTCTTGCACTTTGCCTGTGGAACCCTTTTCTGACTCCATGCTTATATATATATATATATATATATATATATATATATTTGGAGATATCCATGTTACAGTCCAACATCGACCTAGGAAACTGTTGTAGTAAATCAGTCTTCTGGACATAACACCATCTAAGTAGGGACTGAGACATTCAACTCCAACTGTCAACATGAAGATGATCTGCTCAGCCACCCATACTCCTCTGTGACACCTGCTCACAACTCTTCAGGAGTAAGCTGGGCCTTCACAGCCATCTCCACCACCAGAGGGAAGAAAGGATGATGATCCTAATTCTCAGATGTGAGTGAGGTGCCATATATATATATATATATATATATATATATACACACACACACACACACACAATATACCTTTAAAGGGTTAATAAATAAATAACTAGAAGTTAAAATAAGCTGATAAGGTTTTTGCAAAACTTAGCAACAATTGTGTCACATGTTATAGAAAACAAATCAAGCAGCGTTTTAATTATGTCACAATTGTGATCAGTCAATCAAGAACAAGTAAACGAGGCCGTGAGAATCCAGAGAAATTTTTTAAACAAGTTGTTCCCAAGCATACAAAAACTTTTTCAGATCATATGTTCTACTTTTTCTTTTTTCTAAATCCGTCTTATCAGAACAAATATTTTTTTCAAATGGTTACAAATTGGATATTTAACCCTGCATTTTCATCTGAAATTTTAAGCTGATTCAATTATTTTCTTTTTATTTTCTTTTGCCGTTGCTTTGCATCATATGAGTTGCCACCAAATCTCAGCCAGAGACTCCAAGAGACAATTTTTATGTTATCAATGGCAGCTCATATGTAAACATATGAGTTGCCGTGTAACATGTATCCATAAGTATCATTTTTTTTTTTTTTTAATTCACATATTTTACAGCTTGATGCCAGGAATTTGATACACATTACTATTTTATATATCATTCCCAAAGCCCAAATAACAGGCGATGTCATTGTCTTGAGAGGCCACAATTCTACTGATTTCCGTCTTTGTCAGCTGTGGCTGCAACATCAATCGGAAGACAGATGTTTTCAACATAACTTTTCACAATTATGAGGATTCACCTCAATTTATCTATCATTCAAAATGCTGAAGTTCCAGAGGGGATGGTAACCTCTTCTTTCTGTACAACTTGTAGTGACTTGTTCTCTTTGCAAGAGAGGCTGAACATGCAACATATTAAGCAATATATGTACAGAGCAGCCCTTTTTTGCAAGTACTGTTGGCGCCAGTCCTCTTAGTATTATTATTAGTTACAGCTTCATTTTTGTTGTTTATATTCTATTTTAACTGGCGTATCCACTAAATTCTCTATGGTATATTCTATATTTGTTAACTTTCAGGGAACTTGAAAACAAATCTTTAATATCAATCAACAGAAAGTTTTTATTAATTCTCTTTAGCTAAACAGAGAACAGCACTGACCATGACAAATGTGCTTTCTCGAAAATGCACGTAATAAATTCTAATCAAAATTCTAAGAGAGAGAAGAAAAACTGACAGACATTGTTTGCATTTGGCTGTTTTAGTTTAGCAGCATATCAACCTCTATAACAATGGTTCTCAAATGGTGCACCTGGGCACACTGGTGCACCCTGGAAGATGCCAAGGTGCACCCTGGCATTCCAGAAAAATATGTGTCCAGATATAAGAAATTAAATATATTTATTACATTTTGGTACCCATCTCATTCATATTTATGTGAATTAGGATTTTCTGCTCTTGCTACAAATAAGTGAAAAAAGGGAGGAACTCTTCAATGTATTGACGAGGAAATGAGAGTTTGCCTATCAAATATATGCCCAAACATTGAAGAAATTACTAAGACTCATCAGGCTCATGTTTCTCAAACTCAAGAATAAATAAACTTAAGGTATATTTCATTTTATATTTTTTTTATTGCATTATTTCTTTTCTGCAATATTTGACTTCATTATAACATATTTTTCCAAAATTTGTATATAGTGCGCCTACAATTATTGGTAGAATTTTAAGTATGCCCGACTTCAAAAAGTTTAAGAACCACTATTTTATAGGTTATTTAATACCGAAATATAAATATTTTAATGCCTTCAACCAAAGATATTTTGTACATAATTTTATACTTTCATGGTAAATATACGTTTTATAGATATATAGTTTGTAGATGATCAATTGTAGAGGTTATATGTTTTAGTAGAAACTTATTTCTTTAAGGTAGGACATTATGCTGATAGTTTCAGTATTTTCAAGTAGTATTCTTATGTTGTTTTCTGTATAGTATTTATGTTTTACAGGTGCTAAGGGAGTAAATTCAGTTAAAATGTGTTTCACCATGGGTGCAGCTTGGCAATAACAGCCATTGTCCCAGCTCTAAGTTTTCTATTTATCAAAGTAAGACTCATTATTCTTACACTGTCAGACTCGTTATTCTCTCACCACAGTGGCTGCTACTGCCTCTCTCAGTTCAGTGTTGTTTTTATACTTAAGAACACTATTAATATTCAATTTATACCTGAAATTAAAACAAGACGTTCTTCCTACAAGATTTTTTCTGTGTTTAGTCTATTTATTGCATTAGCTAGACACTGCACAAGTGACTTGGTTTGTTTACAAGCTAACAGTAAGTCTTGAGTTTTCACTTTTTAACAGTCATACACACCATATCCACCACACAAAAGAAACCTGGAATAGAGGGATACACCAATAAGAGAGGCATGTATCCAAGACTTTCTTTTATATTAATACAATAAAACCCAGCAGATGTGAAATTATCTCTAGCTTTATTCTTCGAATTATTCATGCTCACTGACTGATTTGCTTTATTTTATGCCTTATCAACCCTTTGCGGGTTATTTAAAATAAAAATATATTTTGGATTCTAAAATTATTTTTTCCAAGTGAATACTGCATTAACAAACTGTTTTGAGATTAACAATGATTTTTCCATATACACATACTATTTAACCCATAGAGGGGCAGAGATGAATTCCTACTTTTCCCAAGGATAAGTGAATGTAACAAACTTCTCTGGAATTCAAACTTGGCTTGCTTAGCTTGATATCCAAGCAGATATCCATGACACCACCTGCACATCCACTTATATCTTCAACATTTTCAGTTTATCCTTTAAGATATTTTGGAGTTTAAGGAATTTTTTTTTGCTCTTTGCAAGTGAGTGCCGCAGTAACAATTTTAGGGAGATAATAATGTTTTCCAGATACTAGTCTTATTATTTAATCCATTCCTGGGAGGGGAAGACCTAATGGACACAAGTGTCAGCTAAATGTAGAAGAAAGCTGTAGAATGGATCAGCTGAAATATTGTGAAAACATCAGCAACACAAAAAATGTGTTCAGTTGTCTGAACAAATCTGGGAATGTTAACAATTTCCCAGAGTATTGTCTTATCTATCCTTTGTCATTTTTGACAAAATGAGAGAAGATAGAATTGATAAAAATAGTTACAAGATTTGTTTGTTACCATTTATCAACCTTTTGCAGCTTATTCAAAATTAGATTTTTTAGATTGTAAGAATTTTGGGAATATACTGATACAAATCCTACTAATTAACCCAAAATTGGGACGGGCGGGGAGAGAAGAGGTGGATTCAGACTTTTCACAAATGGATATAACAAACCCAACTGAAATTGGAACTCTGTACTCTGATTTCCAACTCAGAGCCGTTATTCATTAGACCATCTGAACATACAAACTTACAGCATCTGGTATTCCCAAGTGGCCAACCATCTAAGTACTGGTTTGGCTCAACATTGCTTAACTTTGGGGATCATATGGGAACTGGTTTTTCAACATGATATGGGCTTAAGCCAATATTTCCAGGAAAATGGTTTGCTTCATTTATAAGATTATAAATGATAAGTTGCTGGATTAATATTTGATGGAAAAGTAAAAAAAAAAAAATGTTCATTTATTCTTTGATGAATTATTCTTTCAATTCTCAAAGAGTTTAAAAAAAAAAAAAAAAAAAAGTATAAGAGAAAGAGAGGAAACAAAAAAAAAAAGATGAATAATGCTGTGAAAATATGAATTTGTGCCAAGAAATTATTGTAACATTGAATTTTTTAAAATTGGGACTGGAAGGAAAACTAAAGAAAATGGATGGCAGGAGGAGGAGGAGGAGGAGGAAATCTGTTACTGCAGGAAGGTGAGGGCTGCAGGACACGAAGCAGCAGCAAGGTTTAAATCAAATAGTTAAACATACAAGGCAGGAAGCAGACATCAAGGTAAAAAGCCAACACACAAATTGTTAAAGGGTTAACCACAATAAAAAAAAATAAAAATCATTAACTTATTCTTTTAATAATAGAGGAAAAAAAAAATCATTCAGAATTTTCAGTTTTTTTTAATGAAAATGTGTAGCCTTTTGAAAATGAACAGAATTTTTTTTTTTTAAATTTAAAACAAAAAAAAAATTTAATCTCTTGAAAAAAAGGGTTATATTATCTTTTTGAAGAAAAAGATCTTCAAAACCAAATAAAAAATATTTTTTTTAATCTCCAGCAAATTTCTATGAAATGACTTTCAAGAAATCATTCTAACAATGATTCCCAAATATTTCTTAATTGCAACACACTTTAGAACATGTAAAAATGTTTTGGCACACTTCTTTTTAAAATCATTTCACCCCAAACAATGCCACTAAGACACAAGGGATTACTGGGAGAGGAAGAAAATGAGAAAACTTTAGGAGAAGGAACTGGAAACCCAATCCTAATCAGGAAATAAAGGATAAACCTCTACTCCTGTTCAAAAAAGAAGGAGTGTGAACCAGGCAACAGACAAACCTATCTACTTCTATTATTATTTTGTACAGAAACAGTACATGTATTACACTGCAGACACCCTACTTAGACTATGTATTTTGTTACCCACTCTCCAAGCGAACAACCCCATAAATAGAGCCAAACATCATCTACAATCATAGCCGACAATTCATATATGAACTTCATATATGAATTTCAGTCTGAATTTTTCCCCATTTCGAAATATAATCTCGAATTTCATTCCAGGACACACTAGTTTGGGAAACACTAGTTTGGGAAACACTGGTCTAACAGTTGCAAAAAGCAACTTTATTCGTATATAGAACAAATGATATGAGGAAACAATGTTTATCTACAGCACCTAATTAGATGACAAATAAGAACCTCTCCCCAATTTACACTGAGTATTTAAGTTAGGCAAGGTACAAGTTGTGGTAGTCTTCAGTCTCTAAGTAATCAATAGACTACCAGATACCTAAGGTAGGTTTTTCTTTTTTAATATTCTTCGCCCAATACCAACTCAAGGTACAAGGTTACTGAATGTGGTTGTTGGCATAAGAGGAGGAAGAAAGAAGTGTAGATCATGAGGATATGTAAGATAGATAGCTATCCTAGACTTGAAGAGGTTATGGCCATAATCGGGGAAGGATATTCTTGGGAAACTGTTCCACAAGTCAGCAGCTCTTGAGAAGCTGTCATTTGAACTTCCTCTTTACCAATGGAATACAAAGTGAATGAGGATGATGTGACCCTGGCATGGTGGGTCTTAGCTATAAAGATCTGAACTGGTGGAACTAAAGAATAGCAAGAAACTAGCCACATTTCGTCTGTGGATTATGGATTGTCAGGTGGAAAATAATTCATCATCCACAAGGCAGCATGAGTGATTTTAGATATGGGGGATATTCTTAAAACATTTTTTGTGGCAAAAAATAGAGGGTCTTAAGAGATATCAAATAAAAAAAAAAAAAACAGCTGAGCGTTAAACTAAATTTAAACTGAAACCTATTCTTAAAATCTGGATCAAATGGTTCTAAAGTTCTTTTGTGTCTTTTTTTTTCATTTTTATCTTTATTTTTTTTTTTTTTTTTTTACAGTGGTGTTCACCCTATACAAGGCCCAAGAGCCACTCGAGGTAGAGGCTTACAGAGGAAGAGGCAGAGTTTATGGGGATATGTGAGGAAAATAACAGTTAACCCTAGACTTGTACAGGTTAAGATTCTAGTGATCAGAAAAGCATCCACTTGGCAGTCAGATTTGCAAAGCAGCAGTTTGTGGGACAATGCTGCTCGACTGGGACTTATATCTCACTAATGGGAGATGAATGGAATGAGGGTTGTTTACTATAATGTGCATGGCATGGTGGTCTTAGTCACAAAGGTTAGAACTTGTGGAACTAAGGAATATTTTTCATGAAAATAGTGAGAGGCTTGCAATGTTTTGCCTGTAGGTAAGGGATTGTACATTGGAAAATAATTAACCCCCTCACAAGGATGCAGAGATGCTTTTGGACTCTATTAAGACTAGAAAGTGAAGACTGTGCAGCTCCCACCCATATATAGCAACAGTACACCATCTTCAGCTTGATCTGGCTCTTGTAGAGGATAACAGGAGTTAGGTACTTTCTGGAGTGGTACAGAGAACTGACCATTTTTCCAGCATCTCCAGCCTATGTTCCACTTGAGGTCTGGGTTGAGTTTATGTCCTAATAGGGGCTCAAGGCATGGAAAAATTTTTACTATTAACAACAAAAAGGCTCCATTTTCACTTGATATGAATGATAAAAATGTTTTTCGCAAACATGTATAAACATGCCTGCAATAGGACATAGTATCAAAAGGACTTTTTCCTTATAACAACGCTTTTTTTTTTCTTTTCTTTTTTTAAACTACCTTCACTCCTCAGATTAGAATTAGAATGTATACATTTATTTTTTTTTGTTCTGGAGAATTTACAACAAAAATACTAAACACTATGAGACTATTTATTTACAAGAATAATTTTATATTTACATCCTGAAAACTAAAACAGTTAGAACAAATATGGAATATTTATCATTTACCAATTTATGAAGAGATAAATATGAAACTTTTTTATTCATAAATTTATAAACATTTACTAAGTTGTTAAAATATGTGAATCAACTATAAGGAAATCCTTATTCACCATTTTATCAAATTTGAATCAATTGACAATTAGCCAATGTTTTGCCAACAATTCCTATGGACAATGTAAAAAATGGTGTAAATAAACAATCTAAGAGTGTTTACTATTTTTGTTTTCAATTCTTAAGAACAAAGAAAATGTAGAAATTGACTTTCACTATACGTTTAGCTTTTATTCCAATTCTAATCACCACTTTTAAAACAAAAATTGCTGATGAGTGAAGATTGTTATGGGGAAAAACCATTCCTTTGACACTGCATCTTATTGAGGGCATGTTTTGAGGCCTTCACTGAAAGGAGGACAAAAATCTAAGTCGTTTTCTGAAAAGTCAAAAAAAAAAAAAAAAATAAACAAAACAGTACCCATTATCAGTAAGGATTGCTTACCGAGTTGTGTAGCGGCAGCTGCATGCGTGCATGTGCCTGTGTATGTCGTCTCTTCCTGGAATCCTGAACTTCTCCCAGCACAGCTGGCTCCACAGTGACGCCGCATTCTGCAAAATACACAAATGCTAAAAACAATAATGTAAACTTGAGTGATGGTTAATTGGTGATTTTTCTGTTTTCTATTTTCTTTTCATATCACTCCCTGTTATGAATAATCAAGGGTGGTCTCAACTTGATTTGTTACTCTCCACTTTGAGAGAGCTATTTCTATTTACTGGGACTATAAAAGGACACTATAAGCAAACCTTGTATTCTCAGTTGAATAAAGCTTTTTTAAAGCCTACACCTGCGTACTTTTGTCAATACACCCCCACCCACAAAAAACCTTAAGAAATCACTTTTTAAATAAACTCAGTTACATTCTATATTCTCTATTCGCTGCAGGTCCCATTTGTAACGAAAGAGCAATAAAACATGCGAAAAGCCTTTTGTTAACATTTGTTAATTTTAAAAATCAACAGGTTTATCCTTAACGACAAAGTGATGCTTATGTACAATGGGCCAAGCAATTTCAGACAAGAGCAATGGTTCTTAACTTTGTTGGATGTACTGAACCCCACAAGATTCATCCGTGCATTCACCAAACGCTTCATAATTAGGGAAAAATAAAATATGATTTCTTTAAAACACAGGTATATATTTTATAAGCACACAAATGAACCATCCATTAGTTGCACACAAAATGACAATGTCCTAGGGACAAAACATAACTTTCACACAAAAACATATCTCAATGAATATTTACTTCAAGTCAATGTGACTTTTGCTGTTGCCTTTCAGAAAAAAGTTCAGAAATGAATGGCTTCACTTTGGCGAGTGCCACTCTCATATCATTTTTGCAACAAAGTCTGTTCCTTCTCTTCACTTTCATGTCTCCCATCCTCAAAAAAGGATACATTGTAACAAATAGTATGAGTATCTCTAGGGCTTTCTTAGCAATAAAGAGAATACGCCACAATTTGGTGACACCAAAACGTTGAAAGCATTGTTGTTCTAAAGAGTTGCTGTTGAACATAACTCTGCTGAAGTTCAATGATTTCGTCAAGGTATTCATCACTGACATGTTTTGACAGCTGCTGAACCACTGATGTTTAATTGAACCCAGTTTAAGAAGCACTGGATTAGAGTGAAGCCAGTTGAGATAAAAGAATTAAAATGTGGGGAAAAAAGTTTCAAGCCAAAGTAAGGCAGTGAGACAGAGAGAGAGAGAGAGAAAAAAAAGTCAGTCATGTTATTGGGCAATAAACCTGATCAAAGATTTTGGCAATGTCAAATACAAAAAAATGAAATCTAAAAATAGAATAAAAAATATGACAGTTGTTGATTTTTCCCCACTGTTAACAAAGGCCATTGCCTTGAGAGACCCCAATGCAAAACCCAGAAATTCCAGAAGTTAATTTCTCAAGGTTGGAAGACCCACACATAAACAATTGATACAATTCTTACTCTCTATGTCTCAAAATTTGCCCTTGTGTAACATCTCAAGAAAATCTATCAGATTATTCTTTGGAACCAGACAGTATCAAGAAAGATCATTTTCAAATAATACAAAAAGAGAAATGGCAAAAGTAAAGACAAGTGAAGAAGCACAAGTAGAAACGCTAAATTAGCTGCCCAAATTAACAATTTTGCGAATGCTAAATTTTATAAAATTTAATAGGAGGATCCTGCTTGCTATTTGTATTCATTGTATACTGATTCCCCTATAGAAGCCAAAAGAAATATAAAACTGGTTAAAAAAAGTCATAAGGATCCATGCATGATAATAACCCCACTTTGTCTGCTTTCTTCTTTATCAGCTATAATGGCATACCAATGATAATAATTTAATAATAATAATAGTGCCAATTAATGTTTAAATAGAAAGTGACTTCATATCAAGTGGAGGTCACCTTCAATGACATTTAAGCATATGTTAATCCTAAAATTAAATATCTGATATACAAAGGCATGAATCTGCATCAAAGTAGAGAGGTAAGTAATGCAAGGCTCCCATTAATTGACAAGCTTAGATTTTTGGCATCTGAATTAAAGAAGCAAAAAATATATATATTTATACTTACTAGATGATTTCTTAAAAAAAAAAAAAAAAAAAAAAAAAGAGAGAGAGAACATTTTTAAAATTAATAATCTGGAGTTCTTATTTGCTATTAATATATGAAAAGTTTTTAAAAAATAAATAATTAGATGCAGTTTTGCAGCTACTTTGAAGCAGGGAGTAAGAACATTTTTTTTTTTGGCTTCCATAGATAAATCAATTTACAATAGCAAACTGAACTCCCTTCCCCCATTAACATTTATAAAATTTTATGAAAAAAGATTTTTGCATTGTCTTTTGTTTTTTTTTTTTGTTTTTTTATTCATGATCTAGAGTGCTTAATCTATAGCAATATTTTTTTTTTTTTCTGAAATGATCACAATGCCAAAACTCCACCCAAATAACATATTTGACATAAATTCTGAATATTACTTTGCTAAGAACTGGGATGGGAGAGAAATGTAAAAGAAAAATACTGTTCCATACCGAGTCCATAAATTCTTGAAGAAAGCTTTGACGTTGGCAAGGACAAATTCCCCACCTATAATGCCTGCTAACTGTTCATGAGTTGAACAATATGAAGTAGTCAGTGGTGATACATAGATAGGATAACCAATTGGTTGGTCACATGATGAGTTGATCATGTTACGGAGGGCCTGCTTGGCATTTTGAATGCTCCCCCGTTCAGGGTTACGGTTCCGAAGAAATATTAATTCTTGTTGTTGGCCAGCCCACAAACCTCGAACACATTCACGATTTACCTGAAAACAAAAAAAAAAATCATAAAAATACTAAAAATGGAAAAGGAAAATATTCCAAAATAATCAATAGTAGTACTACTACTACTACTACTACTGTGATGTAAACTCCTGTACTTCTGCATGACTGAAGGCCAAGATGTTTAAGCAGTCAGCAGTTAGTTGTACTCGATTTCATAAAGTTGTAAGTGACAAACAGTGGAAGACAATATATATTGTCAGACTAATACCTTCATCCCAGGAATTCAGTTAAAACACTAGGTTCCTCAAACATTTTTTTAGGTCTGGTTTGAGAGGTAGTATTTCCCAGCTACTTTTGATTATCTGGGATAGTGGAGGCAGAGTGGGGTTGAAAGTGGCTTATTTTTAATCTTGTACATTAGGGTGTCTTCTCTGGGTGTGGAAATTGCTTTATTTGTTTGTTTGTTCCTTGGTTAGGTGTTGTTTATAGCCACATGTTATGAATTGATGCTCAAGATTTTGAGTGTGTTTATTTACTTCTTCATTGTTGGAACTCACTCTCTAAGAACCAAATAATGCACACACTTAACACAGACACATCCCTTTTCCAGGAACCAATAAAACTGTCAAAATAACCAAGAGAATTCAGAGAAACACGAATCCATCCAGCTCTTATCTTAAATAACAACTTAAAAGAGACTGACCAATGCAAGGACCGACCAAGAAAAACAAATGAAAACTATAAATAAAGTTAATTTTCTCCATCAAGTCATTCATTCCCATAGTTCACTGCTGCTAACAAGAATTTTTTTTTCTCCTGATAGCCATGCTGGCCAAAACTAGTCAAGGAATCTAATTGAAATAATAAAACAAAAAAATATTAATATACAACCCATGTGTCTGAAAACTTTAATTTTTTAATATTTGTTATTGTTCAAAACACAGATATATATATATATATATATATATATAGATATCTAACTATTTTCACTTGAAGATGAAACGAGACTAAACACCTCAATTCAACTTAATTTTAATAATTATTTGGATGATTTCGGCTCTCATTTTTGAAACATAAGAACTCTTATGTAGCGAAGGAATCATTTTTAAACAAAAAATATTATTATATATATATATATATATATATATATATATATATATATATATATAAGTAATATACATAATATTTTACATTAATTGCATAACTCAGAGTTTCATGCCAATGCAATTTTCAAGTGCTGGAATTATAGTATTTATTTTTATTTAGATGTTGGGCTGACACCATTTATTTTTTTTTTTAAATTCATCTGGATTACACAATACTATTGTTGGGGTGGAATAGTATTGGAGTTAGAAAATTTTAAATAATTGTAGTTTAATTTTGAATTGGAATTAACTTTTAGGATTGAAAAAACCCGTTATTGACCCAACATATAAATAGAAATAAAAATAAATATAATTCCAACAGTTGAAAATTGCTTTGCCATGAAATTCAGAGTTGTGCAATTAATGTAAGATATTACGATATTATATATATATATATATATATATATATATATATATATATATATATATATATATTAAATAACTCTGTTACTTTACTTTGAGTACTGTTTTACTTACACTATAGAGTATTTATGTTTTTGTATATGCTCACTCATATACCTACGTACATTTACCCATTTGGATATATATATATAATCCACGTATATGTACTAATATGGGAAAAGCTTTCCAATAATATATGCATATTATTTGGAATGCACCTTTTCATTTGGACAATCTTGCAAAGTGGAGAAGTGCATTGGGCAAAATTTTGATTGAGAACCACTGACATATAGCAGCCTTGGATGTGTCATCTCGCTTTTTTTTCAATCATTTTGTCAATGTTATAGAGAAAGAGAGTTATATCTGGAAGAAGATTATTTTAGCTTGTCAAGCAAATCTATTGGCAGTTCTTATGTGTGTGTATATATATATATATATATATATATATATATATATATATATATATATATATATATATATATATATATATATATATATATATATATATATATATATATATATATATATATATATATATATATATATATATATATATATATATATACACACACACACACACACACAAATATACATATATATATTTATTAATGTTATAAAGTTTGTATTCTAAAGAATTCTCTGTGTGTGCATTTTGAAATGTGTGGTGGGAGATATAATGGATAGTAGGTCAGAAAAATAAAATCAGCCAGCTAAGCTCGAATTACAGTGAAGTTTCATGACATTCACTTTTATAAAAAAATATCCTTTGGAAACAGGATATGTCCATGTCTTCCCTCCACAGTTATGGCTTAGATATCACAGCAGACAGGACCCTTTGGCCTTTACTGGTAACCGGTCTAGGAGAAGGGAAATTCTAAATTCAAGACTGTATTTAGCCCTGATGAAGCAAATATTTTGTAGTTAATGAAACAATCATGGAGTTCAAAATAACTCAATGACCCCAAACTATGGTCAATCTGAGGGATAGATAGATGAATATAGATTTGAGTAACAAATAGATAAAAATATTGCTTACCTTGACTACTCTGAACGAAAGGTATCTCTTATTGAGCATGATGATTTTGTATTCATCTGAACCTTCGTCAAAGACATGCCTGAGGGCTAATAAGGAATCTGTGTTGGATAGTACTGCATTACGCCATGCTGGGTCAGCTTCATGGGATATCACCATATTTTTCTCATAATTACTGATGGCATTGTATAAAACCTGGAGATCATCATACTCATCGGAAGAAGCAAAATGGTCCTGCACGAGAAGCAACGGATGGAGGGATAAAAAAAAAAAAAAAAGAACAACACATTCTTTCACAAAAGCATTTAATATATTTATATGCGCAAAGGTAAAATGAATGAAATATTACATTTTATTATGTGGATATAAAATGAAATAGAAAGAAACAAAGAAAAGCTGGCAGGACCAAATTCAACAACCGACCTGGTGTAACTTGAGTGACATTCTTAAAGCAGGCGCAACCACTCGTCGTAGCAATTCAATATCCTTTACAACCCATTCGTCACGGGATGAAGTGACTCTAAAATCCCCTTTGAATAACGCATGGAGACCAAATAAGAAATAGTCCACACTAAAAGAAAAAAAATCATAAACAATAATTCAATCAGAAAGTGGAGGAAATTTTAAAAATCTGTTTATATACCAGGATTAAAAAAAAACAAAAAACATTTAAGCACAAATATTAAGTAAATTAACAACCTATAATACAGTATGAAATGGAAATACTTTCCACATAATGGTAAGGCACCTAGACAAAGACACCATTGCCACTAATGTCTTACCACTACGTAGGAAGAATTTCTGAGCAATATTTCTTCCACACTGTATAATGATCTGCTTACAGCCATGTCAATTTGAAACACAAGTCCTTAACCAATCACTAAAGATAAGCAATGTGAAGCCTGGTCAGTACCTAGATAGGTGACCAAATAGTTTTTAATTAATTAGAAATAAATTAAAAATAAAAAAGGGTTGTCCAAGTGAGATAACTCCATATCTATTAACTACTAATGACATAATGTCCTTTTTCTTAATAGGAAAATAAAAATAAACAGAAAAATACTTTTTAAATGAAGACAAAATTCATGCACTTTAATCAATATGGCTCAAAAGCTGTATATATATATATATATATATATATATATATATATATATATGTAAGCAAATATATGACAGTATGAAGAAAAATATACTGAAAAAACAAACAAAATCCTAATATGCGATTATGCTGTTTTAATGTTTAATGTCAACGTCATATGTTTTGGTCTAATAGACCATCTTCAGGACATATTCATAAAACATAATTAACATAGACCATATACAATTCAACATGAAAAATAATCGCATATTAGGATTTTTGTTTGATTTTTCAGTATATTTTTCTTCATATATATATATATATATATATATATATATATATATATATATATATATATGAATGAGAGAGATGGCTCTAGTCATAACCAGAGTTTTACACTTATGTGATTTTCAGACGACATGAAAGCAATGAGGTTTTTATAGAAAATTATTTTTTTTATTTTTTCCAACCCATGATGCTTTAAGTAAGGTATTTAATTTCCAGTCATGGGTTATATATAAGTGGTCCTCCTCTTTCATTTGCATTCAAGTCTTTTTCTTATTGCTGTCCTTGTTCAAGTTTTTATCTGGTTTATAGGCATTTAGGTCATTTGGCACATAGTTATGGTTTTTCTTTTTATATATATATATTAAAAATGGTCAATCAGCTCATCTATCTTGAAAGTCAAATCACTTTAACTAGAAGTGATGCAAATATTCCCATAGACAAAACTTGGTCTGCAATGAACGAATTGCCAATAGATTTGCTTGACAAGATAAAATAAAAGGAGTCTTCTTCCAAACATAACCCTCTTTCTCTATATGCAAAGACAGAGTATGCCAATCTGAAGACATACCATATTCTATGGACAATTGTAAGAACTGGAAACAAAGTTGTCAGGAATCATGCATGATAACAACATTTTACATATCTGCATTATTTTCTATCAGCCATAGTGGCATACAAATAACAATTTAATAATAATGATAATTAAGTTTAGCGATAGTACTTACTAATTATATAAACTCCACAAACAGGAAGTGACTTAATATTGAGAAGTGGTCACATTCAATGACATTTAAGTTCATGTTAATCAAACGTTAATTTTTATATATATAGATAAAAAATACACACACAAATGTCTACCTTTCCATACAAAGGTATGGATCTCCATCAAAATAAAACTTTCATAGTAGAGATGCCAAGGTTTTGTCAGGCAGATAACTGTTGTAAGGCTCTCACTAACGAGCACTGCTCACCTGGTAACTCACCTGGCTGAGGCACTGTTATGAGAGGCAGTGCCCAATGCTCGTCTTAGATTACGGACACCAGAATATGACATTTTAACCATTTTTGAAGACATAGTAACAAGTGTAAGAAACTCACCTGGCTGAGGCACTGTTATGAGAGGCAGTGCCCAATGCTCGTCTTCCCAGCAGACTGAGACCATAGCACAGGGAAACCAAAAAAGAATCTCTTCCACTGTCCACAGACTGAAAAACAGAAAATTATTATTATAAGGTACAGTTTAAGCAGAAAGTATTCAGCCAGACACATTTGATTAAGAAGAACTGACACAGTCTATGTTTAATATTTTTAGAGTATTTTATTGTATATTTCAAAATGAATATAATTGTCTACCATTAGACATTTCATGTAGGTCTTCATACTGCACCTTACAGAGTGATTTTTGTTATATATATATATATATATATATATATATATATTATTTACACTATTTACATTGATCATCTGAAGAAGGCAGGAGCATACAATGGCCGAAACATTGTGAATATGGCAATAAAGATGAGCACAACAGTTCAATCAATGTAATTACTTACAATACCCCAGATTATTTTAGATGTTGAAAAAGGAAAAAATAAGAAAAAAAGAATAAGAACGAAAAAAATCAAAGAGATAAAAAAAAAAACCAGAATAAACAAAAATCACCCACATGCGTGGGTGTGTGTGTGAAGAAACTTACTTTTTCTCTGCGTGCTGCACAAAACTGTATCCAGTTGAAGTAAACATTACAAAAACTGTTTCTTGTGATGCCCAAGAGTCGGGTGTCGTAATCATCATCAACATGAGAGTTGAATGTAGGGTCCAGATCCACATAGTCCTTGCTCTGCAGGGGAGCCAAGGCTGCCAGCAGCTCTTCATTCTGGGTCCACTGGTCAAGGCGTGGAGACCGGACTGTATAGTAGATTATGCTCTACAGATGAACAAAAAGAAAAAAGAAAGAGACATGACAACAACTGGATTGCCAATAAAAAATCATACCAATATATATTTTTAAGCAAAGGATTTACTGTCTATAATGCAACCTCCTATTTAGTGATAATATATTCCTCAAAATTGACTCTGTGTGTGTGTGTGTGTGTGTGTGCATATAATATAATCCATTATCTTTTATGACCAAACATGGTCAAAACTGCTGTGATCATCATATCACTCATATTCTATAACATGCTGTGGTTAAAACAAGCTAAGGACATATGGCCAAATGCTGATGTTAATTTGTCTAGAGAACACATACATAAAAACAACCAGCAAAATCTCATGCAAACATTCACACACAAATTCTCATTTCAACAAAGATGATGAGCAGTAATCAGAAATGGCCAGACAGAAGAGAGAAAGCTTTATCATTTGTTTAACCTTAATTTCTCTCTTCATTCTACATGCAAAGGGGGCTGCTATCAACCATAAAATAGCTACTTGTGTTTTTCTAATGTTAACTGTAACCGGAACAACATAAGACCAGTGACTGATGCTCGTATCAATTTTCAATTTGTGCATTATCATGAAGACAATTTCAGAGACCTGTCAGTCAGTTATGTGCCATGCATGATACACAGTTAGGCAATCATGTATCTTTTGATACATGTCTGAAAGGCAGATTTTTTTCTACAGCAAGTTGCCATTTCTTTCTGCAGTAGACCAGTTGCTATCCAAAGCTGTAGAACCTGGTCTGTCCAGCTATTTACCCATAGCTGGGGAGCAAGAAGAAGAGGACTCATACCTTTCCTAAGGGTATTAGCACATAAGTGAATGTAGTGGATTCGACTGGAATTTGAACTCAGCTCTCCGATTCCTCAATCCAAGCCACCATCCATTACTCCACTGCACCTCCTTTTCGGAGACCACTGAACTATATATATTTGGATGTTTAAAAATGGCCTTCCAAGATGGATTACCATATTTTGCTGCTTATAAGATGCACCTTTCCCCTATAAAATATCTTCAAAAAACACCCTACATCCGATAAATCAAATCTCGACAATGGGATTTATAAGTCAGCTAATTTTATGAGAACATTACTTTCAGTAAAACTTAGTGCTTGCAATAAACCCGTCAATATTACGGTTAATGAGGATTTCAAGCTATAATAACAATATAAGGTTTCGGCAGTATGGTAAGCACTACTATATATTTTAACCAACACATAAACTTAACATCATTTCTGTATCAAAATTTACATGTAGCTAATTTAAAATCTGTGCCCAATCCTGGTTTGTGATGAATTCATCACGATTAGTGAGGATTTCAGGCCGCAATAAGGTTACGCTTCAGTGGCATTCTAACTTCTCTTCTAAGTAATTCTAAATTACATTCTAAATAGTTAATATAAATTTGGTACTTCTCAGTCTGTGATGAATTTGTCAAAATTATTCTGGTTTTCATGCTGAAATATGCTATTCAGTGGGTAACCTTCAAAATGTGAGCAGGGAGCATCTAATGCAGCAGAGTGTCTTATAAGCAGCAATTTACTAGTTTTCCTACTTACCTTCATTTTTTTTTAAAACCCCCAATATTGGTGCTAAAGTTTGATGCTTCAAATATACAAATGCAATATTCAATCTTGAAAATGAAGAGTAAAAAAAAAAAAGCGAAATTCATAGGAAAACACAGGATAAATTTTCAAGGTTCACTCGAGGGAACACAAAATATCAGATCTGAAGAAAGGCAACTTTCCGAAATATTGTTAAATCATTCGATCCCCCAACAACAGTAAAGATTTGGGCGATTTGGGGGGGGGGGGGGTTAAAGAGTTCATATACAGCGATTGCTGCTCTCGTTTTATCATCACCCTCACATACCTTAATGTAGTAGTTGATAAGCAGCTTTCGGAGATCAAACACTTGCAGCATGGTAGCAGCACTGTTGTCAGTGATGCTGTATCCCTGGAGGATGTAGTTGGTGACAACCACTTCCCAGGCCAACCAACGCTGATTAAAGGCTGCATTTAAAGAGAGAAAATGGGGCAAGTGGCCCAATTCACAGCAGCAGAAACCTGGAAAGAGAAAAACAATTATTATGACATTATTGCTGATATCCTGACGAGCAGATGGAGTGGTTGCTGGAGGGTAAGTCTACGAAACTCTAGAGTTGGAATGCTGAAGGTAACACCAATCAGCTAGTGACAAATTTTGTATTTTATATATATATATATATATATATATATATATATATATATATATAATTACATGCATACCTACGTTTGCTGTATAACCCAGCATTCCATGGCTTTCCTATTCATCGGTTACTGAGGGTTAAGTAATCGTATGCATATATGGTTGCTCATATCTCTTTATTTAGCCCATTTCCACATTTATCTCTCAATTATTATTATATGAGTGTGTGTGTGTATGTATGTATATATAAGTGTGTGTGTATTTCTGTGTATATATATATATATATATATATTTATGAGTGTGTGTATATATATATATGGTGTGTGTATGTATATATATATATGAGTGTGTGTGTGTATATATATATATATATATAGTGTGTGTGTATGTATATATATATATATATATACGAGTGTGTGTGTGTGTGTATGTGTGTATGTATATATATATATACGAGTGTGTGTGTGTATGTATATATATGAGTATGTGTGTGTATGTATATATATATGAGTGTGTGTGTGTATATATATATATATATATATATGTGTGTGTGTATGTATATATATATATATGAGTATGTGTGTGTGTATGTGTATATATATATATATATGTGTGTGTGTGTGTGTGTGAGAGAAGGTGCAGCAGAAATACTTCCTACATAATCATAAGATATTAGTGGCAATAGTGTCTTCTAGCTAACACCTTATTGATTTACCTATTCATTTAGGTAACCTACAAGGAATTCTGAACAAAAGCCTTTCTTTAATTTAAGGAGGTTACCCAGATCAATATACACCTTAGGACAGCCTAATGGCACAATAGACAAAATGTTGTGGCAATAACAAGGATGGAGACCCTAGTCCAAATATAAATAGTGATAATTCCTGGAATATAAATAATGATAACTCTTCATCCTGAAAATGTTACAGAAATATAGTATTTAAAAGAATTTTCTTTTTCAAAACAAACAGAAAAAGTCTGTTGTTGCACACTTGTTTCTACTAAAAGACTTTAAAAAAAAAAAGGCTTGTTATTGCACTAAAACCACTATTTTTATTTATTAGACTTATTTTTTTATTTATTTCTATGTAAGATATAATAATTATGTCGTTATCATTAAGGCATCATTGTTTTTAGGGTAGGAGGGATTTATTATTACACTCTTTACCTTCATCATTGTCTACTTCTTCTGTGATGGCTTCTACTTCTCTCTGTTGGCAGTATGTTCCTGCAAGAAAATAAAGATAAAAATCAGATTGACAATGAGAAAAGCTTCAATGAATTTAAGTCACCGATTTTTTTTAAAAAGTTTTTTTTCAAATAAGAGAAACACTTTAAAAAAAAAGAACCGATCTGCCTAAAAGTGCAGAAACCAAAAGAAAAATAAAAAAAAAATGACAATACAAATCATTTAAAAATGATGATCAGTAATAAATCCAAGTGTCATGTTGTCATTGGGAAACAAGAAATGGCTAAAGATAAAAGAGCTTGCAACAAAAAATTCTGTCTTTCCATCAATTGTGATGCAATCCTGACTGGTTGATTGTAAATTGGAAGTTGTCAAGGGTTTCAAGCATACTGGTGTTGCTCAAACTGCTCACTATGACAAGTTAGGCACTCTTTCCCAGAAACTGTAACTAAGGTCCACTCAGCATAATTACAGTATAAACCACAGGTGGGCTCTGTAGGTGTTGAACAAATACATGCCTAAGCAGGCTTCTGCAACAGGGATTGGCCAGCATATATTTTTGTTAAATATGACAGACAAGGGAAATTTAATGATTTTTCCACCCCCTCATCTGCATTATTTAATGAAAGATATTTTTAAAAAAAAAAAAAAAAAAAAAAAAAAAAAGTTGTATGTGTATAAATATATAATTTAATGAAAACGCACAAATACACACATACATATTTCTTTTATTTTGTGATCTGATGGAGCCTGGAAAGTCAAAATGCGTAATCTAGTTTCAATGAAATGGTTTTCCATTTGTTTTATATAATATTGCAATTACCTTCTCCTAGATCAATTGCTACTCATGGCTATAGAACCCAGTCTGTCCTGCTATTTACCCATAGCTGGAGGGAAAAGAGGAGGATTCATACTTTTCCCAAGGATATTAGTGCGTAAGTGAATGTAATGGATCCGATTTGAATTCAAACTCAGCTCTCTAATTCCTCAATCCAAGTCGCTATCCATTATTCCCCCATGCCTCCTAATATAATGCCAAATCAGCCAAGTTTCAATCCTTGCTTGAAACAATTGGATGTCTAGCCACACTGATGAGCAGTGATACAGGAAAACAGGCCTCTGTGCATATATATACATATATGCATGCATGCTTCATTAAATGACAAACAAGGTGCTTTGATTAAGTTTTTTATATAATTTCTCATATCATCTTAATATTTTTTCTTTTCCATAGATAAATTAATCAAAAACTGTCCAAATGTTTTATTTTTCCAAGTGCTTTCAGCAATACCTTTAGCCATTATCAAGGAAGAATTATATTTACTGTTAACTGGAATCGGATAATTATGTGTCTATATTTTGCATTATAGAATGTTTTATTTTCAAAACCAAGTCAACGTACTGTGTCCATGTTCATAAAAAAAAAAGAAATATTGTTTGCTTGTACCACTACAGTTCTTTTTTATAGCCAGAATGGTACTATTTACACACAAAATGATGGAATAAGTATGGGAAATCCTCTCAGACCATGCTTCTCCAACTATTATATATCATACATTGAAAACAAGGTGTTATTAAACCCAAAATATATGTTTGTTATGTAGATGATATATTTATTTTAGCTGATAACAAAAAGGAAATTGACAATCTGAAAACTAGATTTCAACAATATTCCGTTCTCAATTTTACATATGAACTTAGTGAAAAAAAATAAACTCCCATTCTTAGATGTTCTCATTGATTTTAGTAATAATACATTTACAACTTCAGTTTATAAAAAACCCACTAGTAAAGATTCTTGCTATCTTAATTTTTCTAGTGAATTCCCTCTTAGATACAAAATAGGTGTTATTAAAAAATTTCCTCAAGAGAGCGCACAAGAATTCATCTTCTAATCCTCTCATGTTTTTCTTTAAAGAATTAAATAATCACGTGTTTTTCTTTAAAGAATTAAATAATCACGTGTTTTTCTTTAAAGAATTAAATAATTTAAAGAATTAAATAACATTAAACAAACACTTATTAATAACAGATTTCCTAATCAATTGTTGGATTTCCATATTATACTTCTTCTGTTTAAGGTAGCTAATAGTATGACAAGAATAGAAACAAACAATAACATTAATATTTTTTATAATAATCAAATAAATGTCAATTACAAAAAAGATGAAACTAGAATTAAGAACATTATAAAAAAAAATGCACAACCCCAGTAGACAATAGGAAAAATATTAAACTAAATATTTATTACAAAAATTTAAAACCGCCAACCTTATAGTTAAAAATAATAATTCACCTCTTAGAACAAAATTAAATAGAAAAAATATTATTTATGAATTTAAATGTCCATTAAGGAATTGTGTTCCTGATCAATCAAAATTCGTAAACAATCATATAGGCCACACCACAACATGTTTAACAAGAAGACTCGTGCTACATCTTTCTAACCATAGCTCAATTAAATATTCATGGAGACCTACCGGACCCCATTCATAACATTTGTTGATAATACAAATATAATAGCATGCATATTATTTATGGGTGCGTATTTTTTTTGAGAAATTATGGTAGGTAAATGTATAACAAGATTTGTGAAAAGAATAAAAAAATTTTTTAAAAAAATAAACTTACCTCTAAACTCTAATCCTCGTAGCTGGAAGGTGAGCAAACCGTTGCCCGTCTCAATGATATGTACCAGTGCGTTGAGGTAATCAGAGGCCATAATGAAGCAGTCGCCCTGACAGTAATTTCCCCAGCGCCCCAACATGACATCTCCACACAGACTGTGCTGCAGGGAGCGGGTAAGGTGCTCGTAGAAGATTGAATTCAAGTTGTTATCATCTGCACCTAGGCCAAAACATACGGAATACAAGTAACCAGAAATGAAAGGGACACCAAGCCAGGACAAAAAGAGAATAGCAGCCAACAAGAAGCCCACAATATCAATGTTTTTGGGGTTTTTTTTTTTTAACATACAAGCTGAAAATTCTTCAGAGTAAAGCATACCTTAAAACTATATTGTTTATAATATATGTGTAAAAATCAGATATAAACAAAAAAATATATCTGTAAAAAGACAATATGAATAAAGACAAAGGAAAACTATTCTTTACCAATGTTTTATATATATATATATATATATATATATATATATATATATATATATATATATATATATATATATAAAAAAGAAATAAGAAAAAAAATTGAACAATATTTACTCTCTTTCATTTATTAAGCATTGAATTACATAGCATCCTACATAGTTTGCATTGACTTTCACAGTTAGGTCTTAAGAATATTTTCTGAGCATTCTTAAATTTAAAAATTTTGAAAACCTAAAGTTGTACTTTTCTGTTTTTAAATACATATTGCAAAAATTTACATTTTTTTTTTTTTTTTTTAATAAAGTTCATCAGAGGATGGATGAAGCATATTGGTAAAGAACAGTTTTCTTTTTTGTTTATATATATATATATATATATATATATATATATATATATATATATATATATTCCCAAAAATTTGTATTGTAACTATTAAACGTCCTTTTGAACCAATTTATTTTCATCTCTGGTCTGTACAAAAAAGAATCAATGTATAATAGTAACTTATGCTAAAATAACAACTTACTACACAAACCAATGTTTTTAATAACCTGTGATATTATTCAAGCAATATTATGACACCTAATTTATCAATTAAGGAACATAAACTTTAGAAGGTTAGGAAAGTTTTTTTTTTAAAAAAGTCTCCAAGGGAGGAATTTTTCCAACAAACAACAATGGTGGAATCAACATATGGTTTCTTTGTAATTCTGGAATTTAATTCAAGTCCAGAATCTGATAAAGCTTTTTGAATCCTTCCTTTTGGAATGACTCCAGGTTATCAGGGGTTAATCCTAGTCTTATCTCTTGTCATGCAAGGTGGACATGCTGCCTGGAGCTCAGTATACTTCTAATTCTTACTTTGGTCATGAATAACTGAAGCCCTGGTAGGGCCAGTAACAGCAGTCAAATTTATTTTCAAATTTCTCAACTAAAATACGACTTGCAGGAAATATACCACTCCTTTCTGAGTTAATTTCAATGTATTTTCACTTCTTCATGCCATAGCAAAACAAATTCTTCAACTGATTGTTATCAGGACATGCAACTGCTAGAACAGTGCACTTTATAGTAATTCTAAATAACCTTGAGCAATGAATCTCCCTTGGGCCTATTCTAATTATATCAGCTTTGATTGTACATGAAATGTTTAAAAGTGTTTGTTTTTTTTGTTTTTTGTCTCTACAATGTTACTTCTTTGCTAGACTTGGTTTAAAGCAAACCTTCAACTGTTGAATGGAAACATCAAAGATAGAATGATGCCATAAATTCTAGCCAAAAACAGTCTTCAAAATAGAAGGTTAGGTTACAGACGCTCTCAAGATGCTACAACTGTTTCTGCTGACCAAAAAAATTTCAAGGTTTCAATTTACACTTTATTTTTCTGTCTAGAAAATTTTTTTTTTTCTTTCTCTTCACAGAATACACCTCAGAACAATTGAACAAACAATTTCAGATTTGATCCTCTGAGCAATTTTACTTTAACCTTCAGAAAACCAATGTCCAACTGGCCCAATAAAAAATTTAAGGCCAATTGACATAAGTATACACCACATATATTTGTTAGATTAACTTAACTGTTATAGTGAAACACACCTATTCTATAGTTAATAGACTCTCCCACCTATAATAAGTAGGAGTAATAGTTGGTCAGTCAGTCGATATCGGACAACGGTTAGTCAGATATTAAAGTATCAGCAACCACAACTAGATTACTGCGTCATTACCTATTATATCAAGTTCCTAACGTTTTGTACGTCGAACCTATTTAGGACCGACTTAGTACAAAATACAAGTCTCCACTCTGAAACTACTACATAACATTAACACAAGGTCAAATTCACAGTAAGGAACTCATAACTCAGGTAAATGCTAACAAATCAAATGAACGAAGTCCAGGTCCAGTTGACATACCACCAGGTTGCACCTTTTCCACTGCATTTAAAGGAAAAGGAATCAAAAGCATCACAAAAGAAAACTGCTGAGAAAATTGAATCATTTCTGGCACCATAGGCATGTATACATGTAGGGCTCTACATTTGTGACCCTGTGTCGCACCTATGGGGAGTGGGGGTATTTGCTTGGTTTTTTTTTTAACAGATTTAACTTGTTGGGATTGTTTAAAGCTGAAACAAGGTTTTTGAGTTGTTTTTTTTGTTTTTTTTAACAACAATTTTTATAGATACAAGTCCTGCTATTTAACCTATAGCTGAGTGGAGGAGATGGATTTATACCTTTCCCAAGGATATTTGCATACAAGTCAATGTAACAAATTAGACTGGAATATGAACTCTGCTCTTTGATTTCTCATTCTGAGCCACTATTGATTACACCACTCAGACATCCAGGTAGACGGGGGTAATTAGCTTCGTGTGAATGCTACTCTATCATGTGATCTGTTGATTTGTGTCAGTTTTTATACTGTAATTTATACTTAACAGAAAATAAAATTTGGAAAAGGATATTTTACTTTTTTTTTTCCAACAAGGTTATGCTAATAATCTGAAGAATTATCTTGACATGCAAACACAAAACATCTGAATATAAAACAAGAAGGAAAAATGATGTGTAAAATGATGAATGTAACAAAAATTTGTAAAGAAATTCTTTCCTTTTTAATTCATATAATACATTAAAATATTATCTCAACATTGATCTTTCTCAAAGAGAAGTTAGAAAAGTTCTTGTTGGTATTTTAAAAGTCAGACTGATTAACTACAATGAAAGATTGACTAATTTTTTTTTTTGTTTTTACAGTTAATAAATCCTTTGCAGGTTATTTAAAGCCAGGAAATATTTTTAGATTGTAAGAATTTTCTTTTTTTTTTTTTGAGATAAGGATTTTAGTGATACAAGTCTTACTAATTAACCCATAGCTGAGGGAGAAGTGTTGAAGTCATATTTCTAAGGGTACTTGTGCGTAAGTAAATATAACGAACCTAACTGGAATTGGAACTTGGAGCCGGATTAACAATTCTGAACCATTAATCATTACATCACCTGCACATCCAAGCTTACAGCACCTGGTATTCCCAAGCATTCACTCATCGAAGTACCGCTCAAGCTCAATGTTGCTTAACTTCAGTGATCATATAAGAACCAGTGTTTCAACATGATGTGGCTTTAAGTCTACAATGAAAGAATTCACCCCATGGACATAGCTGAGAAGATATCTCACCAAAAATGTTTGTCTTCTTATTCTGCTAGTGAATCAGATAAGGATTTGTCAAGATAATTCCTAAATGATAACAATAAAAGCAATTGCAGTCTTTGAGTAGTTGGTGAGATATTCCACCAATATGATTTCATACAAAAATATCCTGGTAGTCCAGATGTTCAATCCAGTGGAGTCATAAGTAGTTTCCGTTTCAAGAACCAATTGTAATGACAAATCTAACATCCTGTTTGTCAGAGAATGCAGAGGTTGGGTTAGGATGGCAAGCAACTGATCAGAATACATTGTGGGCAAGGAATTCTGACAGTTAAAGATTGCTTAACTTTTAGATGTAAGACCAAAATGGCACAGTCAATAGAGGGCTGCTTTTTGCATCCAGATTCCTTAGAGAGGCTAAACCGCACATCAAGGAATGCTAAGTCAATGACTGTGCATGCATTCCCCTGAAGATCTTCCACCCGCTACCTCTTAGAGTTGGTGTTACCATATCTGTCTCACTTGTTTAATAAAACAAATCAAAAAAGAAACAGTCTATCATTGATATAGTCTATGAAGTGGCTTTAGGGTCAGAAAGATTGAAGCTAGTGTTGACACAATATGCAACATGTTTCTTAAATATATAAAAGGTGATCAAACTTGATTATTCAAAAAATGAAATACAGTTAGAATTTTATTCAATTCTATATTAACCATTATTTGTAATGACTTGTTAGCACTTATCAAGCAATACCATTTGAATAAAATTCTGCAAGGTCTGATGCCAAAATATTTTTAACAATCTCTTGAATTTTTATTTTCACAAGAGAAAGTTATCCCCATTAATGTATTTTGCAGTGACAGGCAAAGGTAACAACGGTTGGTACAAGGTCAGTAAAATATGGCATATGGAATAGAACAGACCAACTGCCAAAATTTTTTCATGTTATTTTTGCTATATTCAGCCTTGTGTTGACATAGCCAACATTTTTCCTATTGAAGAGTGTTTTTTGACCAAACTTTTGTGGCCATGTTGAAGCTGCTGGATGTATAAATATGCATTTACTATTTGCTTTTTGAGAACTCTAAATAAATAATCGCCCGAGGATCCCAATAAATGCACAACATTACCTTGCTGATGAAAATTTCATTTTTAAAAGAAAATTATTTTTAAGCAAAACCAAAAAAAAAAAAAAAAAAGTTAACAGATTATAACCTGTCTTTTGCTTCATGCATATAACAGCAAAGTTCCTGACAGCCTGCTACCTGGGATATATCCTGTCATCAAGCAAAAGTTTTTCTATCCACAACACAGAATTTCCCATGAGGAAGATCAAGCATTACAAATTAAAGTCTTATGCTCATATTCCAATGAAAAATGAGTTGAAAACTGGCATAAAAATTAAAACATCCAACATTCCTCTATCTTTCAACGTCAAATACTGGCAGAGAGAAACTCTTTAAAAATGTAATTTTCATCAAAAATCAGAAAATTTTCAAATTGAACAGCAGCATTTTACTGAACCTACTGGTTATTCATTTTAAACAGTGCTATGTCATTTAGACATATAGTACTGTCAGTTTTTTTTTATTGTTTAGTTAAATATTTTTGATTTTTTTTTTTTTTTTTTTTTTTTGGTCTTTTCTCAATTTGTTCCCTTTTCAGAGTTTTGATTTATTATTGGTTTGGGGTTTTTTTTTTTGGTTTTTTTTACTATTACCTTTGGTCACTTGACACACTTTTGTTTGTTTGTTGTGTGTACATCTAATTGTTAGTATGAGCTCTTTCCTATAGTGCCTAGACATTTTTTTTTTTTTTTTTTTAATTTAAGCATAGTACTAGACTAGCATCAAGATCTCATCAATTTACAGCTAAGTTGGCTAGATGTAGCTGTAAATTCTATGCTAACAGTTTCTTTTCTAGTGAGTGGAACTCCTTTCTGGCTCTATGCTTTCCAACCAACTTTAATCTTCCCAAATTTAAATGCAATATCAATCACTATCTACTTGATTACTCTTTTCTCTTTCCGCTCATTAGTAATGTTTCTGTTCTTAATTCTTCCAGACTCGGTAACCCCTTTGCCTTGCTTGGGGTGAAATTAATTACTGTGTGTGTGTGTGTATGCATGTAGGATGTATAATAGTATCGGAAACAAAAGTGAAGATAATGTAACAAATTTGAAAAGCTATAAATGGCATGAGCATTTGTTTGCTTTGGCTTCTTCAGGTTAGAATGAATGAAAGACTAAGGAAAAATGTGTTGGGATATCTGAGAAGATACGAGAGAGCATAAATCACATTATGGTCATGGATGTGATAAGGTAATCTGATTTATGGTCCCCTCCCTTATCCTCAGAGATCCTTAAGCATTCTTCCTAACATACAGTTTTGTCTTTCATTCTTTCAAACCTGAAGAAGCCAGAAAGAGCAGAGAGTCTAAGCAAAATGCACCATTTATAGTTTTTTCATTTTATATCATTATCTTCACACACACACACAATTGTTGCCTATTCAGGTTTGGTTTGGTTAGTTTGTTTTGTTTTACAGTATATCAAACTCAATAGATTGTTTAATGCCAACAAGATTTTTATCACTGATATTTTTTTTTCCAAAAATGTATTGCTGGTAATAATTTTTTTTACAAAGTATTTCTGGTATTAAAACCTATTTTTACGCTTTCATAGTGTTTTGACTGCAGTTTGGGAGTTAACTTTTTACCCATAGTTGGGACCCTAACAGGTGCTACTACACTGGGTTAGGGTGGACCTGGGAACATCAACAACTAAGAGGTGGTTCCAAGCTCCTCAAAACCTCCTTATCAGATACCTTGCTGTTGGATGTAGTTTATCATCATACCCAGGACAGGCCTATTTAGTGCACAAGAACAGACAAAACAGGTGAAAATGGTGACATGTTCTCCCATTAAAGTCCAATGATATTTGCACAATTATTTATAGTCATTCATAGTTTGTAAAACACTATGTTCACTTGCATCATCAGACAGTTTCTTGTTATTGGTTCAAGCCTGTCAAGATAATTGGAGACTGCTTGTGCCATATACCATTTGAATAATCTGATGGTATGACACGGTTGTTAATGCCAAAATTCTATCAACCTGATATGACCTCTGTCATTGCTTACAGTGCAACAGATAATCAAGTCATTCCCTCATCTAACTACTGACCAGACTCAACACATCAACAAGAACCAGTGCCTTTTGTATGATTTTATCATATTTATAATTGATTGTGTACATAATTTGTCAGTGAGGTTGGTTGATTGATTTGGTTAAGCAGCATATCAACACCTCTATGAGTCATTTAATGCCAAAATCTAAATATTTTAAACACAATTTTATGACTTCAATTAAATATATTTTGAACACAAACGTATGCCTTCAACTACTGATAAAATTTATCAGTCATTTTGCTTTAAAAATGTATTGTTGGTAATTTTACAATATATTTTTATACTTTCATAGTATTTTTGTTTGGGGATTTACTATTTCCCTATAGCTGGGACCCTAACAGGTGCTACCACTCCAGGTCAGGGTGGATCTGGGAGCAACAGCAATTATGAGGTGATTTTCACACTCCTCAAAACCTCCAATCTCCTGATTGGAAGCCTGGCGGTCAGATGTAGTTTATCGTCATACCCAGGACTATTATCAGTGAAGGATTTTACAGGAGTCAAGAAATGTCAATCACTGAAATCCATTACTGAAAAATACTTTATGATACAAACTCATTTTGCAGTTTAAAAAATGATGTTCATTTAAAATCTTTGGTTCATTTTTCTCCCTGTTTGCATTCAAATTCACTCTGTCTTTTATTGGCCAAAATAATTTTTTTTTTTTTTTTTTTTTTTTTAAACTGGTTCATTATATTGTTACTAATTAACAATAGATATGGTGAATAATTATTGAATTACTCTATGATGAATTACTTATTGAATCATAAAATAATATCCATATATAACTCTAAATAAATTACAATTTTATTGGGGTGTATCAAAAGTATTTTCAGTTTTTGCAGCCCTTTACTCCAAAGTTCATTTCATATGCATATCTGAAGGCTATCTATGATGCAATTAACTATTTACTCCAGTCTTAATTATCAGTTCTCAACAAAATTTATCTTACATATTTATAAGTCTACCATTCATCCATACATTGAATATTGCTACTAGATCTGATCTGGTGCTTCTGCTAGATTTATCCTTGATAAAATGCAAAGAATCTTTGTGGACAATGGGAGGATGCCCAATATTTCCCTTTCTTTCTCTCCAAGTTTATAACCATTCATGTGTAAGTTTTTTTTTTTTTTAATGTGGCATTCTAGAAAATATTTATGGCAACAAAAAAAAAAAAAAATAAATAAAAAATAAAAAAAAAATAATGAACCGAAATGACTGATTTATATTTTTATGAAAGCATCACATTTCGACATTATAACTTTTCTTTCTTATTCACTTATCCGCAAGAGTAAATGCAAGACGCTTGGGCGATCATGTCTCTTTTCAATTTATCATCACCCAAGAGTATTTGCATAAGTGAATTTAACAAACCTGACTTGAATTCAAACTCAGCTCTCTGATTTCTCATCAAGCTGTTATCCATTACACCATCCTCACATCCAAGCAGTCACCCATCTAGGTACTGACCAGACTCAACATTGCTTAACTTTGGTGATCAGACAAGAAACAGAATTCCAACTTGATATGGCCGTAAGCCCTAAGCTGCTCTCCACCTTATCCTATTTTTAGAATAGTGAGCATTAATATGTCATAAATGGAAACCTATAGTACTAAATATTAATTTATAAACCGACAATTAGTAATCTTTTTTATTATATTCATACCAAATGTCTTTATAAACCTATAATCAATAGACAAATTTTATTTTGTTATACAGGAAAAGTCAAAAATTGTCAGAACTCTTGTCTAAAGATATGTTATGGTGACAAAGTAGA